AACACCATTGCACCATTTTGCACCATTTTTTGGTGCAAAATTGCTCCAACCCAACACCAAACTTTGCACTATTTTGGTGCAAAGTGTAAAATGCCAATTTTGCCCTTATTTTGCATTTCCCAAATAAATTTGTTGAGGGTATTTATGTAATTTGTGCTATATATTTTTTAATACAATAAATTATTATTATTATTATTAATATTAATAATTATTTGTGTTTAAAATAAATTTTAAATGTAAGACATAATAATTAATTAATTAATTAAAAGGCGAAAATAATTTAAAATACATCAAACACGATTATTTATTAAAGTTAACACGAAATATATTAAATAGAGCAACATAAATACGATAATTTAATTTTTTTTTTTTAAAAGATACATAAAAAAGTGCATAGTTCAATAATCTGGAAGATCACTCCCAGATCCTCCAAAATTGCCAAAATAATTTCCAAACAAATCAGTTCAAGAATGGACGGAAGCGTCAAGTCCAAAAGTTGAGTTGGTTGAAGATAAAAATCGACATTTTCAGGAATTCCTTGCTCGTCATAGACAAATCAAGGATAAAGAAACTCATATTGCACTTCGAAATGCATTAATCGATCATTTGTGGGATAAACATATGAATTCTGAGAATTAAATTGCAAAAATTTAGCGACTTCATAATGTCGTCCATCGAAATTCGAAATGTATTGTACTATTTTCTAATGGTATTATTTCATATTTTCATTGTTGTAGTATTTTTATTAATTGTTCTATGTTTTTTATATTTATTAATGAATTTAATCTTTTCCGTAATTTAACGTAATTATTTATTTAGTAATTTATGTATTTCTGAAATAATTAAATAAATAATATTTCAAATAAGTAGATTATAAAGAATAAAAAAAGGGAAGAAAATGGTTAAATACTGTTCATTTGGTGTAATTTTTGGTGTAATGGTTGGAGATGAATTTTAGTTTGGTGCAAGATTTGGTGCAAATTTTGGTGCAAAATTTGGTGCTGGGTTGAAGATGGCCTTAAAATTTGACCGGTCGAAAAGTTGATAAAATTTTAGCAAGAGTTTATTAAAAAAACCACTCAGCTCTTGTTTGAGCTTTATTCTTCTAAAAATTTATTTTTATAAAATTCATTTTCAACTACACATTCTTCAATTAAATAATATTACATGCAAACTCAAATTTTTTTTTTAATTTTTAACCACATATTCTCCATCGATCTATTATTCAAAATACATTCCTTTCCCCCACGCGGGCTCATATTCAATCTACACATTGAAACAAGAACCCTAGCATATGACCCACGAATTCCCCACGGTTTAGCCTTTTATCGACACGCATACTCTTTTCTTATAAACCAAATCTTGTCTACCTTCCAATCCGTAAAGTATCCAACCTCGTATTGATAGTTACATACATATAACATGGCTGACCCTTCGCATCATCATCATCATGACAGCCAAACGCCCTTTCAATCTCTTCCTCCTCCACCACCGCAGCCACCGCATTTGATATCTAACATTAAGAAGGTTCAAAAACTCCCCTCCGCTAGCTCCTCCACCTCCGCCAGTCGCTCCACCAATGGAAAGCACCCAATATACCGTGGAATAAGGAGCCGAAGTGGAAAATGGGTATCAGAGATTCGTGAGCCCCTGAAGACCACGCGTATATGGCTAGGAACTTACCCTACACCGGAAATGGCTGCTGACGCCTATGATGTGGCCGCGCTGGCCCTTAAAGGCAGTGAAAAAACAGTACTGAACTTCCCGAAATATGTTAGCTCTTATCCGGTGCCACCTTCGCCTTCAGCGCCGGATATTCGAAGAGCAGCCGCCAATGCGGCAGCGTTGATGAAGTTAGAGGGTGGCAGTGGCACGGAGGCTGCTGTCGGACAGCCGGCGAATAATGAATCAGCAAATGAATTAATTGGGAACAATGACCATAATTTTGTAGATGAGGAGGAACTTTTTGATATGCCAAATCTGCTGGTGGAAATGGCCAAGGGAATGTTGGTTAGCCCACCAAGAATGACCTCGCCGCCGTTGAGTGACTCCGACTCGCC